GCTAAGATTGGGCCTGGCCACACACCCCAAACACACACCTGCCTCTCTGCCTCTACTTCGAGACCCCCTTTCTACACCAGCAGGAGCAGGTGGCAGCCCCCCATATGCCTTTCAGAAGGGTCTCTCTCTCAAAAAAAAAAAAAATCATCGACAAATGTTAAGGGAATTAAAAAAAAAAAGTTCCTGCCAGAGCAAAAAAGTTGCCGCTTGCATGAGAAAGCGACTCAGAACAAGGGGACTTTTGAGACCGTTTGTGGAAGAGGGTTGGCATCGCGTTCTGTGTCTGACACGACTGAGAATTTGAAGCACTGGGGAGTGACTCTCGCTCTGGTTTGAGGGGAACCCCTAGTGGGGCGTGGGGGCCCAATGAGACCCCAGGAGTCTGTCCCGGAAGCAGGCCCTTGACTGATGGGGGTGCCTCCCCCCACCCCCCACAGCTGAGTGAGGGAAAGGCCCGTCTGACCGGCTAGGAGTCGCTGCCCCCGGTTTGACCCCATGGACTGCACTTGGCCCCCAAGCACTACCGGGAGTGACCCCTGACCCCAGAGCACATATCAGGACTAGCCCGGAGCACCTGAGCCCTTGAGGGTGTGGACGAAAACAGGTTTTCTTTATAACTTTTGGTTTTGAGTCACGCCCGGTAGCGCTCCGGGCTGACTCCCAGCTCTGCGCTCGGGCCACTCCTGGCGGGGCTTGGGGGGACCAGCACTTTTTGGGGTGCTGGGGACAGAACTCGTGTGAGCTGTGCGCCAGGCAAGTGCCCTCCCTACCCGCTGTGCCATCTCTCCGGCCCTAAAGCACGTACTCAACAAGAAACGTTATAAGCACAAGTAGAAAGACTGGGGGGTGGGGGGTTATTAGCTACATCAGGAGAAAGTTATAATAAAAGTCATTAACATTGGGGCTGAAGCGATAGTACAGCGGGGAGGGCGTTGGCCTTGCACACGGCCAACCCGGGTTCGATTCCCAGCATCCCACAAGGTCCCCCAAGCACCGCCGGGAGTGATTCCTGAGTGCAGAGCCAGGAGGAACCCCTGTGCATCGCCGGGTGTGGCCCAAAATGGGAAAAAAAAAGTCACAGGGGTGGGGTGGGAGGGATGCTGGGAGCATTGGAGGTGGACAATGGGCACCAGTGGAGGGACGGGCACTTGATCATTGTCCAAGGCAAGCGTCCTCCTCGCTACACTGTCACTAACGCCCTGCATTTCTTCTTAAAAAGAAGAAACGTCACGGGGCTAGAAAAATCTCTTCTACGTCATACACGCATTTCACTGGTTATCTTCTTTTTAAAAATATATATTTTTTATTTTATTGAATCACCGTGAGATAGAGCATTGCAAAGCTGCTCGGGATTGAGTTTCAGTCCTACAGTGCTCCAACACCCGTCCCTCCACCGGGGCACATTTCCCAGCACCAGGGTCCCCAGGTTCCCTCCCACCCCCACAAACCACCTCCCACCCCTGCCTGCCTCTACGGCAGACACCTCTCCCTTCTTCCCTTCTCTCTCTCTCTCTCTCTCTCTCTCTCTCTCTCTCTCAGGCATTATGGTTTGCAATACAGATGCCCAAAGGTTATCATGTCTATCCCTTCACCTACTTTCAACACTGAGCTCTTGTCCAGATTGATCATTTCCAACTAGTGTTGTTCTTTTAGGCTTCTTTTAGGCTGGAGCAATAGCACAGCGGTAGGGCGTTTGCCTTGCGCGCAGCTGGCCCGGCTGAGCCGGGTTCGATTCCTCCGCCCCTCTCGGAGAGCCCGGCCAGCTACCGAGAGTCTCTCGCCCGCACGGCAGAGCCTGGCAAGCTCCCCGTGACGTATTCGAGATGCCAAACACAGTAACAACAAATCTCATGATGGAGACGTTACTGGGCCCGCTCGAGCAATCGATGAATGTAGTTGCTATCTTCTTAAGAGTATTCAACCACACTTAAATCCTACATGTAAATCCACCCTCCGGTCACTGCTAACCTCGCATCTGCAAGCGCCAATATCCTTAAACTCACGAAAGAGATCTGTATGGGGTGGGAAAGACAGGGCAGCGGGGAGGGAACTTTCCATGTGATGCCCACACAGGGTCCCCTGAGCCCCGCCAGGAGGGATCCTGAGCACAGAGCCAGGAGTCAGCCCTGAGCATCGCCGGGTGTGGCCCTGAAGCCAAAGAGAAAGAAAAAAAGTAGCAGGAGCAGATGGCAGCACCCGACACACGTGGCCCTTATGTGTGACGCCAAACGTTTTGCAGGGACTCACTAGCTCCACGGAGATCAGCCTTCAGCCTTCCTCTCCTGCCCTGGAAGCAAGAGTCCATAGACTGGCCACAACCACGCCAGGAGACCCCAGCGTTTACACACTCGCCCCATTCATGAACCGCTCTAAAACCCGGGTACTGGGGCTGGAGCGATAGCACAGCGGGGAGGGCGTTGGCCTTGCACGAGGCTGACCCGGGTTCGATTCCCAGCATCCCATAGCGTCCCTCGAGCACCGCCTGGGGTGATTCCTGAATGCATGAGCCAGGAGGAATCCCTGAGCATTGCCGGGTGGGACCCAAAAAGAAAGAAAGAAAGAAAGAAAGAAAGAAAGAATAAAACCCGGGTCGCCCCACTTGATAGACGAGGGGTCCAAAGTTAAACCAGAGTTGGGGGTGGTCCACAAGGGTTAAACAGCCCACTCTCACACAGATCACTAGCAGCTGAGCTAGGTAGGATTCACACGCCAAGCCCACGGGCGCCAGACAGCCCAGCGGGGAGGGCGTTTGCCTTGCGTGCGGCCAACCCAGGTTCGACCCCCGGCATCCCATAAGGTCCCCCCCAGCGCCGCCAAGAGTGATCCGAGTGCAGAGCCGGGAGACACCCCTCTCGGTGAGTTCCACCGGGGGCCCACACACACGTCCACCCAAGTCCCACAAGGACCACCCGGGCCCCAGAGCCCGCTTAAATATAACACGTGGACCCTGTGGAACAAACATGTACACGCACCCCCGATCTCTCGCCCCTCTTCAGGCTGCTCTCAAGGCAGGCCGTGCTGCCCCTCGGGGTCATCGGAGCAATGTTCCTCGCCACCAACCTAGGCGACCCCAAAGTTTTGGTCTGGGGCCGGAGCGAGAGCACAGCGGGGAGGGCGTTTGCCTTGCACGCAGCAGACCCGGGTTCGATTCCCAGCATCCCATATGGTCCCCCGAGCACCTCCAGGAGTGATTCCTGAGTGCAGAGCCAGGAGGAAGCCGCCATGCATCACTGGGTGTGACCCAAAAAGCAAAAAAAAATAAAGAAAAAAAGAAAAGCTTTGGTCTGCCCCCTGCTTCCCTGTTAAAATCAGAAACTTTCAGGGGGCCAGAGAGATAAAACAGTGGCCTGTGCGGGGCCTCGCAGGCAATCAACTGGGCTCAACCCCCCAACATCCCTTCCGGTTCCCCGAGCACAGCCAGGAGTGACCCCCCTGGGCAGCAGCGCAGGGTGTGTGACCCAAACAACTGCAGCACCAACAATAAAAGGCAGGAACATTTTAGAAGATGCCCTGGGGATCATCCAGGCCCCGCACCTCGCTCACAAACACAGATGCCCAAAGGTGGGGCGGCAGGGGGAGCAGGCCGGGACCCCTCCAGCTCTGCCTGCTCCCTGCTCACTCGCCCTTCCCAGTTGGGGGTCCCCCATGCCCTTCCAGAAAGGGGTCCCTAAGAGAGGAGCTATCAGGGGCTGGAGCGACAACAGCACAGCAGCGGAGGGCGTTGGCCTGGCACCGGGGAGACCCGGGTTTGATCCCCGGCATCCCACAGGGTCCTCCCTGAGCACTGCCAGGAGTGATCCCTGAGCACAGAGCTGGGAGTCAGCCCTGTGCATCGCTGGGTGGAACCCAAAAGCAAAACCAACCAACCAACCAAAGCCAACCTCAGAAGCCCGTGAACTGCGCCCCGAGTGATGGGGCCCAGCTAGAGCCCCCAGTGCCCTGGGAGACCCCCTTAAAAACACTCATGGGGGGGGGGCTGGAGCAATAGCACAGCGGGGAGGGCGTTTGCCTTGCACGCGGCCGACCCGGGTTCGATCCCCAGCATCCCCTAGGGTCCCCCAGCACGCCAGGAGTGATCCCTGAGCGCAGACCCGGGAGCCAGCCCTGAGCATCGCCGGGTGGGACCCAAAAAGCAATTAAAAAAAGAAAAAAAACAGAGAAGCCAGCAGCAGTCCCTTCCAACCTTCCTCCTGGGGCCTGGGGACACACAGCGCTGGAAGGACGGGAAGTGACCGGGCCAGCCATCCCGAGGAGGGGACCTGCCCAGCCTGGGTGTCCTGAAGGTGAAGAGCCCCAGGACCCTTCCGGGACCTCCACAAGCCCAGCCACCGCGGCGGGGGCGCCGCTTCTCCTCCTGCGACCCCCCATTCCCGCCCGGGTCCCCTTTCCCCCAGCCCCGGACAATCCGGCCCTTCCCAGCGCGCGCCACGTCCCCGTCCCCGCTCGGGGGCCCTTGGGGTGTCTGGGCCCCAGGAAGGTCAGTCCTGTCCGCCCACCACCCACCCTGTCCACTCTTCCTTCCTGCGCACGGGGGGTGGGGCGGGGGTGGGGGTCTCGGGGAGGAAGCGCGCGGGCCAAGAGGTCAAACTCCCTGGATTTATTCCTTTTTTCTCTTTTTCCCCCCTTCCTTCCCCGCCCCCACCCCGCGGGGGCTCTGCCCACCCGGCCCACGGGCAGCGCCCACCCCCCACCCCACCCCCCACCCCCACCCCCACGCGGGCCCCTCCAGACGGGCACGTGACTCCCGCCGACACTTGGGCAGACGCCGCTCGGACCCGAGCACGGGCTCGGGGTCTGGGGTCCCGGGACCCCCCCCCCATCCAGCCCACGACGATAATAAGAAACTGAGGCAGCCGGGCGCGGCGTGGGGGAGGGAGCGGCGGGCCGGAGCGGGCCGGAGCGGGCCGGGCCGCCGAGGGGGGTCCTGACGCGGCGCCCCCGGCCCCAGGGCGCGACCCCCCGACCCCCGACCCCCGACCCCGCGCCCCGCCCCCACTCACCGTGCTGCGCGAAGACGTTGAAGCCCGCGTCGGCGCTGCGTCCCGCGGGGTCCCGCCGGCGGCCGCCCGGCCTGGCCGCGCCGCTGCTGCCCCGGAGCCCGCGGGCGGGCGGCGCCGCCAGCCCCGGAGCCTCCCCGACGCGGCCCACCTGCTGCCCCATCGCGCGCTCGCCCGTCGCCGCCGGCCCCGCTTCACATGCCCCCGCCGCCGCCGCCCCGGCCGCCCGCGCCCCCGCGCCGCCTCACACGGCCGCCGGCGCCCGCGCCCGCGCCCCCAACGCCGCCGCCGCCATCTTTAAACCACCGAGCGCCGGGCGGGCGCGGGGCAGAGCGTCGCCCGCCCGCCCGCCTGCCTGCCCGCCCCCGGCCCGGCCCAGTCACCTCCGCCGCCGCCGCCGCCGCCGCCGTCGCCGCGCGGGGGGCGGGGCGGGGCGGAGGCCACGCCCCTCCTCCGCGGCGGGCGCGCCTTTTACGGCGGCTGGCCCCGCCTCTGAGGAGGGAGGCACGCCCCCACGGCGGCTGGCCACGCCTCTGAGGAGGGAGGCACGCCCCCACGGCGGCTGGCCACGCCTCTGCGGCGGCGGGCACGCCCCCGCGCACGCTGGCCACGCCTCTGCGGAGGGAGGCGCGCCCCTACGGAAGCTGGCCACGCCCCTGAGGGAGGCACGCCCCCACGCGGGCTGGCCACGCCTCTGCGGCGGCGGGCACGCCCCCAAGTAGGCTGGCCACGCCCCAGCGGAGGGAGGCACGCCTCTATGGCGGCTGGCCACGCCTCTGAGGCGGCGGGCACGCCCCCAAGTAGGCTGGCCACGCCCCAGCGGAGGGAGGCACGCCTCTGCGGCGGCTGGCCACGCCTCTGAGGCGGCGGGCACGCCCCCACGCAGGCTGGCCACGCCTCTGAGGAGGGTGGCACGCCTCTACGGCGACTGGTCACGCCCCTACGGCGGCTGGCCACGCCTCTGCGGCGGCGGGCACGCCCCCACGCAGGCTGGCCACGCCTCCGCAGAGGGAGGCACGCCCCCACGGCGGCTGGCCACGCCCCCGGCGGCGCCGCCCCCGCCCTCCCCGCCGCCGCGGCGTGGGTCGCGCGCGTGCCCGCGGCGCCACGGCTGCGACTCCCTTTCGCAGCGTTTCCTCGGCCGCGGCCCCTTCAGCTCTCTCCTAGGATCGACCCTCTCTCCTCTACCACCTTCGGTTGGGATAAGATGGGGCGGGGGCGGGTCATGGAGCTGAGGCTTTATCCCCTCCCTCCCCTCCCCCCCAGTCCCTCCCCCACCCCACCCTCACACACACCTGTCAAATCCATCCTCCCGGGGCGGAGTGCCCCAGGTGAGCTGCTCCCGCCGTCCAGGTGCAGGTGAGGGTCAGGGCTGAAAGCCCACCGCTGGGCTGGAGCGATAGCACAGCGGGGAGGGCGTTTTCCTTGCACACAGATGGCCCAGGGTGGATCCGCGGCATCCCCTAGGGTCCCCCGAGCACCGGCAGGAGGGATTCCTGAGCGCAGAGCCAGGAGTCAGCCCTGTGCATCGCCGGGTGGGACCCAAAAAAGCAAAAAAAAAAAAACATAAATCAATAAAAAATGGAAGCCTATCAGAAAGGTAGCACAGCGGGGAGGGTGCTTGCAACCAACCCCGATGGTTCCCAGAGCACCCCAATGAGTGAGCCCTGGGTGCAGAGCCAGGAGGAAGCCCTGAGCATCGCCGGAAGCGGCCCAGAGAGCAAAAATGAAGCCGGAGACAGCCCCTTCCCTCTGATCATTTTTAGGGTTGCACTTTGCTCCACGGTTAATCTCACCCCCAGCTTGGTGCAGTACGGATGACACCCAGAGCACACTTGGTGGAGGGCAGTATGCGTTGCTAAGGACCGAACTGGGAGTCCCACACGCCAAGTACCTCTCCCCTGTGATAACCCACCTCTCAAAAACCTCTTAGGCAGCCGGCCTAGAATCAAACTTCAAATCCTGCAGATTTGGGGGTCGGAGCCATAGCACAGTGGGGAGGGCCTTTGCCTTGCACACAGCCGACCCGGGTTCGATCCCCGGCATCCCATAAGGTCCCCCGTGCACCACCAGGAGTGATCCCTGAGTGAAGAGCCAGGAGTCAGCCTTAAGCATTGCCAGGTGTGGGCCAAAAAGCGAAATAAAAAAGTTATATGTACATGCAGTACTTTGGAGGTCGGTGTCTGTATTGATGTTGTATTAAATCTTTAAAGGCCTCCAGAGTGCCAGATGCAGTTCCATTTATAGTTTACACGTTAAAAGTTTTTTTGGATGAGAGTGAAGAAGAGAATTTTCATCTGGCCTATGTAGAATTAAGTCCTCCTCTTTTGAAACTAAGGAGATGGATTAAATGACCTTTTGCTGTCCCTTTTAGCCCCAGGAGTCTATAATTCAATAACTCTTTGATTCAGCAATTATAAATTATTAAAAACCTATCTCAAATGATTGGCAAAGTTACCAGGAGCCATCCAAACATTATTGATTTTAAATGAATAAATACATGTTCGGGCCTTTCTATGTTAATAGTGAAGTCCCCGGCTTAATCTACTTAACGCAGAACTTATTACTCCAACTCTAGTGTACTGAACTTAGTTTATTTTTTTATTATTATTATTTTGTTTCTGTTTTGGGGTCACGCTGGTGGTGTGCAGGGATTACTTCTGGCTCTGCATTCAGGGATCACTCCTGGGCAGGCTTCAGGGACCCGGCCCAGTGCCTGGGATTGGACCCAGGATCAATCACCTGTAAGGCAAGTACCTTACTGCTATACTATCTCCCCAACACCCCCCCTTTTTTTTTTTTTTTGCTTTCTGGATCCCACCTGGCGATGCACAGGGGTTACTCCTGGCTCTGCACTCAGGAGTTATTCCTGGCGGTGCTCAGGGAACCATATGGGATGCTGGAATCGAACCCAGGTCGGCCACATGCAAGGCAAACTCCCAACCGCTGTGGTATCAGTCCAGCCCCCTTATTATTTTTTAAGTAAAGCAGAATAGTTTTTTGTTTGTTTATTTTTGGGTCACACCTGGTGATGCTCAGGGCTGACTCCTGGCTCTGCACTCAGGAATTACTCCTGGTGGGCGCCAGGGGACCCTATGGGATGCTGGGGATCGAACCCGGGTTGGCCACGTGCAAGGCAAACGCCCTCCCTGCTGTACTATCGTTCTGGCCCCCGAAGCAGAAGTTTTTATTGTAAGAAATTTAGATGTGTGTTCAAGAGAGAACTTATTGGGGCCACAACAATAATACAGTGAGAGCAGGGCGCTTGCTTTACACACAACTGAGGGCGGGGAGGTAGTATAGCGGGTTGGGCATTGGCCTTGCATGTGACCAACCCGGGGTTCGATCCCCGGCATCCCATATAATCCCCCAAGCACAGCCAGGAGGAATTTCTGAGCGCAGAGCCAGGAGTAACCTCTGAGCATCTCCAGGTATGACCCAAAAAAATAGCACTGTAGCACTGTCCTCCCGTTGTTCATCGATTTGTTCAAGCGGGCCCAGTAACGCCTATTTTGAGACTTGCTGTTACTGTGTCTGGCATATCGAATCCGTCACGGGTAGCTTGCCAGGCTTTGCCGTGCGGGCGAGATACTCTCGGTAGCTTGCTGGGCTCTCCGAGAGGGGCGGAGGAATCGAACCCGGCTCGGGCAGGCTGGCTGCACGCAAGGCAAACGCTGTGCTATCGCTCCAGACCCCAAAAAATAAAATAAAATAAAATAAAAACCACACAGCTGGGCCAGGTTTGATCCTCAAGCCCACCAGAAGTGATGCCTAAACGCAGAGCCAGAAGTCCTGAGCACCATCGAGTGTGACCCAAAAATGCCAAATAAATTTTTAAAAATGAGAAGGGGCCAGAGCAATAGCACAGCAGGGAGGGTGTTTGCTTTGCACGCGGCCGACCTGGGTTCGATTCCCAGCATCCCACAGGGTCCCCCTGAGCACCATCAAAAGTGATTCCTGAGTGCAGAGCCAGGAGTCAGCCCTGAGCATTGCCAGGTATGTGACCAAAAAAGCAAAAATTAAAAATTAAAATTAAAAAAAAAAAAAACAACGAAGAGAGAATACGGGCTTGTCCAGAGGGGAAAATTCCTTCCCTGAGCTGCTGGGGTGATGACGGGGCCCTGCACACACTTGGTGGGTGTGTTCCGAAGCTCTCATGCTTTGTAGAAGCACCGAGGATTCCAGACGGCAGAGCCTCCAGAATGATCCTGGGCACGTGGGGTGATGCCAGGGATCGAACCCGTGGCCTTAGTCCGCAGGGGGGGGCTGGGCCCGGAACTCTCCTGCTTTAGAATTCCCGGGAAACGAGTCGCTTCCCTTCTCTCTGGCGCCGCCCAGCGGTCATGCCCCGACACCGCAGCCCAAAGCGGCAGGGTCGGTCCGGGCTCTGTGCTCGAGAGTGACCCCTGGTGGTGCTTGGGGGAACAGATGCGGTGCCAGGGATCGAACGTGGGTCAGCGGTACTGGGGCCGGCAAGTGCTCAGTCCCGCTATCTCCCCGGCCTCTGTGGCAGGAATTTCTTCTACCTTGCATCCCTGCCCCAGTGAGCTCTCCTGCATCCCATAGGGTCCCCTGAGTCTCGCCAGGAGTGATCCCTGAGTGCAGAGCCAGGAGTCAGCCCTGACCATCCCCGGGTGGGACCCAAAAAGCTAACAAGCAAACAGATGACTGTTTTAAAACGGGGTCCTTTGGAAGAGCCTTAAGTCAGAGGTCTTTGTCATTGGAGGAGGAGGAAGAGGAGGAGGAGGAGAAAGAGGAGGAGGAGGAGGAGGAGGAAGAGGAGGAGGAGGAGGAGGAGGAAGAGAAGGAGGAGGAGGAGGAGGAAGAGGAGGAGGAGGGGGGGGAGAAGGAGGAAGAGGAGGAGGAGGAAGAGGAGGAGGAGGGGGACAAGGAGAAGGAGGAAGAGGAAAAGGAGGAGGAGGAGGAGCAAGAGGAGGAGAAAGAGGTGGAGGAAGAGGAGGAAGAAGAGGAGGAAGAGAAGGAGGAAGAGGAGGAGGAGGAGGAGAAGGAGGAGGAGGAGGAGGAGGAAGAGGAGGAGAAGGAAGAGGAGGAGGAGGAGGAGGAAGAAGAGGAGGAGGAGGAGGAAGAAGAAGAGGAGGAGGAGGAGAAAGAGGAGGAGGAAGAGAAGAGGAGGAAGAGGAGGAAGGAGGAACAGGAGAAAGA